AAATAAATAAAATCTTTAAAAAAAAAAAGAATTTTAGAAATCATTAAGAATTTATGAATCCTTCCAGACTTTTTCCAGTATCAGTATATACATGCATGTCATTATATAAGGGTACCTGGCTGGCTCAGTCAGTAGACCACGTAACTCTTGATGATCTTGGGGTCGTGAGTTCAATCCTCATATTGGGTGTAGAACTTACATTTTAAAAAAAAAAAATGTTACTGTATAAAGGAAAAAAATCTTATAGTATAAATATTTGTAATATACTTTGGAAAAACAGGTCCATATCATTTCTTCTAGATTGAGGTATTTGTTTTTTTTGTATGGTTTTTGAATTTTTTTTTTTTTTTTTAAGATGAGAGAGGGAGAGGTTGTGGGGGAGGGGCAGATGGAATAAGAGAGAGAATCTCAAGCAGGCCTCATAACCATTGTAGAGCCCAACGCGGGGCTTGATCTCACAACTCTGAGATCATGACCTGAGCCGAAATCAAGAGTCAGACAACCGGCTGAGCCACTTAGGTGCCCCGGTTTTTAAATTTCTATTTGTATGGCTCTTCTTTTCCCTGTGTTTGTGTATACATACACATAAGTATATGTGCTAATATAAAATGTATACCCTTATTGAAAAAAATTAAAAAGAAATCAAAATTGTAAAGGGTGGAAGTTCTTTTATAATGCTGCCTCCGAGAAGCACCGGATATGGTTAGGTAGGAAAGCACTTTTTTTGAATTTGTAAAAATGGTGGATTTCGTTTTATAACCTGGTACCCCCCCATATTTTGTATTTCAGTGCATATTGAGTCATCTCTGGGTTATCTTTTTCCTATCAGTGGCTGCATAGTACTTGATTTAATGATTCCTTGCACTGCCTTACACTATACAGTCTTTAAGAAGCATCCTCTAGTATAGACACCATACTTACAGGCATTTAGATTCCAGGTGTTTTTTGTTTTTTGGTGTTTTTTTTTGGTATTATAGATTATTCTGCAGGAATCATCCTTGAATACCTATCTATACATGTTTTTCCAATATGTTAATTTAATTAAAAAGTTGTTAATTTTCAGTTAAAGTGTTAATTATCCAAAGTCTGTTGTAACTGCTCAGTAGGGACCAACATAAAATCTGAAAACTCATAATTCCTTAATCAGTGGTTTCTTGAATTATGTGGTGAAACACTCACCTAACTTTATTCACCACTTGTTAATGTGTCATGTGCTGTGTGTGTGTATTTTTTTTCACCGAACTTGTTGAGAATTAGTTGAAATTCACCCCAAAATATTTCACCATGTTGTTTAAAAAAAAAAAGATAAAGATTTATTTATTTATTTATTTATTTATTTATTTTGGGGTGGGGGGAGTAACAAAGGGAGAGAATCTTAAGCATACTTGCACTGAGCAGAGCCCTATGCGGGGCTTGATCACACAGTCTGAGATCATGACTGAACCGAAACCAAGGGTCAGAGACTCAACAGACTGAGCCACCCAGGTGCCCCTATGCAATTTATCTTCTAACAAGAATGTTCTCTACATAATTACAGTGTAGTTATCACACTCAGGAAATTTTTTTTTTATGTTACGTTAATCATCATACATTACATCATTAGTTTTTGATGTAGTGTTCCATGGTTCATTGTTTGCATATAACACCCAGTGCTCCATGTAGTATGTGCCCTCTTTAATACCCATCACCAGGCTAACCCATCCCCCACCCCCCTCCCCTCTAGAACCCTCAGTTTGTTTCCTGCGATTAAGAATTCCTCATATCAGTGAGGTCATATGATACATGTCTTTCTCTTTTTGACTTTATATACTGTATTCTTACAATAAAGTAAGCTAGGGAGAAGAAAATGTTACTGTAAAAATACATTTACAGTACTGCATTTATTTTTTTTTTTTAAATCAGCATATAAGTAGACTCATGTAATTCAAACCCATGTTCTACAATCAACTGTATAGTGCACTTTTTTTTTTTTCCTGTAAGCATGGGAAAGTATATGCAGTCCTTAAAAAGATTGGGTTGAAATATAGGTTGACAAAACTTGGAAATTTTATAAAAAGCTTTTGTTTGTGAGGTTCTCTTGTTAAGTACAACTTTATATGCAAATGCCTTTTTAATATTATCTGTAAACCTTACAACACTGCAAAGTAGATATTATCGTTTCCATTTTGGAGATGACAAACGCTCAGGTTAAATAACTTGTTGACCATTGGTGCAGAAAAGTTACTGAAAAATTTAGGTTCTGTTCTACCTCTGATCAAATTGAGAGTTAAAGTTCTTTTCAATAATGTCCAAGGGACACCTGCATCAGAATCACTTGGGGAACTTGTTCTTTAGGTCTCACTCCCAGAGATTTTAATTCAGTAAGTCTATGTGGGGCCCAGGACGTTTTAAGATGCACTCCAGATGAGGCACATTCAAGTTTTAAAACAACTCTAAGATTATGCTTCTTCAGTAGTTGTTAAGGAAGGAGATAGTTCGGTATGTTTGTACATTAGCCCTGCCTGTCAGTGGTTTTACCAATCTTCGCCTTGGTTCATCTTCTCTGGGAAGTAGATGCCCCTTCTTTACAAAGGATCCTGAGCATTCCTCTGTCTTTAATTTAATTTTTTTTTTTTAAGTAAGCTTTAGGCCCAACATGAGGCTTGAACTCACTACCCCAAGATCAAGAATCGCATGCTCTACTGACTGAGCCAGCCAGGTGCCTCCTTTCCTCTGTCTTGATGTCTGTCACATAATACTGAAACAGTCTCTTTACATGTTCTTCTTTTCCAGCAGATGATGAAATCCTTGCTCCTTGCACAGCGCTTAGTATACAGGCGACATACTAAATGCTCAACTGGGAATATAGTTTTTATGGATAGTTGACATTCTTTAAATGATTGGTCTAAGAGATTTGAATTTATGAATTTAATTTGAAATTGGTATTCTTTTAACATACATTAATTATTTAGGTCATATTAATTACATAAATGTTAGCTCTTTTCTCCCATCTAAATTAGAGAATAAAGCTTATTTTGATTGAGAAATAATATTTGTTGACACTGAGTTTGTCTGGTTTTGCCTAGGGATTACTAAATTGCTCTTTCCTTTTCAGGGCCTACATTTATTTTAAGGAAGTTTGAAACTTGAAAAAGGGAAGCATGACGAAACTATTACAGCGATTCTAAAAAAAATTACGATTCTTTAGTTGAAGGAATGTCAATTTAACAAACCTTTTTTATGAATTGAGTTACTGTTGGAAGGCTGTAGCTCCCCTATTTTACTCCTTTTGCGTTAAAAATACATCAATGTTTAACTTCCAGCCCCATGTCATAGTACATTGTGCAGCAGAGAGAAGGCCAGATGTTGTTGAAAATCAGCCAGATGCTGCTTCTCAACTTAATGTGGATGCTTCTGGGAATTTAGCAAAGGAAGCAGGTAATGATGACTTTATAAAATCTTTGTAAAATATTAAATAATTGCTGAGTTTATAAAGATTAAAGTTTTCTAGATCACTTATAAGAGATTTGTTTATATATGATGAATAAGCTATTATAAATGCCAGTACAAAGTGATGTTCTGTAATAATTTAATAGATTCTTTTCTTTCTTTTATGTCTGTCTTTTTTAGCTTTAATTGGAGCATTTCTAATCTACATTAGCTCAGATTATGTATTTGATGGAACAAATCCACCTTATAGAGAGGAAGACGTACCAAGTCCCCTAAATCTGTATGGCAAAACAAAATTAGAAGGAGAAAAGGCTGTCCTAGAGAACAATTTAGGTAAGACACAATTTCTTTAGCCCCTGATAGTTTTGATTGTTTTGATATATATATATGGAGATGATGTATGATATATAAATGATATATATATATATGGAGATGTATAGATCTAGGTATATATATGATATGCTACATATGAAAACTATATATAAAATTTTGAAGCAATTAGTCAAGGAGCATAAATCATTGGAGAAAAATTAGAGAATATAGTTAATAAAAAAGAAAAATAAGAATTTTATTTTATTTTATTTTTAGATTTTATTTATTTGACAGAGAGAGACACAGCGACAGAGGGAACACAAGCAGGGGGAGTGGAGGAGGGAGAAACAGGCTTCCCACTGAGCAGGGAGCCCGATGCGGGGCTCGATCCTAGGACCCTGGGATCATGACCTGAGCCAAAGGCAGACGCTTAACGACTGAGCCACCCAGGCGCCCCGAAAAATAAGAATTTTAGAAATCAAGGGCACTTGGGTGGCTCAGTCGTTAAGCGTCTGCCTTTGGATCAGGTCATGATCCCAGCGCCCTGGGATCGAGTCCCGCATGGGGTTCCCTGCTCTGCGGGA